TGGCAAACTCCTATTTTTACATGATTTTTTTTCAAATAGACTACTACCATTGCTGAAATTAACTAGTATTTTCTTCAAAGTTTTTAAGTCAGATACTTTAATTACCTCTAAGAACTATTGATTTCACTAGAATTCTTAAACAATGTGTAAAGGTCTGCACTAAATATTTGCTTCTCGTAATCCTTAATCATGAATTTTCACTAAGATTGCGCTTAAGTGACGAATTGGAAATTCTATCTCCATTAGGGGCTCTGCTTCTCCCGCTAATCGCAGAAGGCGAGGGAGCAAGTACGCATTTGTCATAGAATAAATCCACAATCTTAGTGAATTAATTAAGTTTCTTTGAAATGAGAAGTTTTCTCGTCAAAAATTGAAGTTTTTAAGACCTTTATATTATTGACAATTATTCGTGAACAATGGGCTTCACAAGAGATAGTTGAATCTATTTGATCTTAATAACCCTTTTAAGAAATGCATTCGTTTCAGTAAATGGTTTACTTCTATTTGATTTAATCAAGTAAAAATACATGTTTGGTAAAAACTTGCACATTTTCAGGGAAAATGAGAGACAATTCTAAAAACTTAGCTATTCAACGAAGTCGGATGATTATGTTAGTCGAATTGGCCTCATAAAGATGCAAATAAAGCTCTTTTCAGCAATAATAATAGAATGTCATGCTCTCGGTGGTCTGAAGTTGTTGCTTGAGGGCAAGCAACGTTTAAGTGTGAGGAATTTGATAAGTTCATTTTGTTCTTATTTTATTCTACATATTTTAAGCGTTATTGCACGAAAATAGTGGTAAGCAGTACATAATTTTATGTTAAACTGAACAATATCTTTGATTTTTTCTTTAAGGAATAATAATTGGTTTAAAGTTTATCCAGTCCTGATTGTTGATTTTTCTGTTTATATTTGAAAGAAAAAGAAGTTTTTAACTGAGAATTTTATCATGGGAATATCGGAGGAAGTTCAAACAAACTGCGAAGCAAAATGAGAATTGAAGTTGGGCCTTATTTGGATCAAACCGCGAAAAAAAAGCCCACGGGAAAAGGCCCGAAGCGTCCAACCTTGGACGCTTTGCAGGTTGGACGCTTCCCTTTGGACGCTTGGCAAAGATTGGGCACCACGAAAGGCACGTGGCGCGCAACGAATGGACGAGCTACGTAAGGCGTCCAACTTTGGACGCTTTGGATCCGGACGGCTGGGGTTGGACGCTTCGCGTCCAGTCCTATAAATACAGCACTTCCCCCCTTCGATTTTACACGCTGCACAGCGCCCCTCTCTCCCTCCCAAGTCCGAATTTCTCCATTTTTAGTCTAGATTTACAAAGCTACTTCCATATTTTAGATTAGTATTGTTTCATGGAGTTTTCACGGAGCAAATTGTAAGCCCGAACCTCCAGTTCTTCAGATTGTCGAAGTAAGTTTTGTCAACTCTCTACATTTAATTGAAAAATGTCTTCTTATGATGCATGTGTGTTGAAGGTTTTTATTATGAGTAGCTAAATTAATTAGGGGTGTGATTATTGGAATGGTGATGGTAATTTTCTGAGAAAATCATTGAGTTGAATTATATTATTGTCAAGGCAAATTACTAGTTTTTATTACTGAGAATTTATACTTGAGATTTGTAAATCGAGAGAAGGCAAATCTATTCTTGAAAATTATATTTCTTGAGAAAGCTGGAATTTAATTAAGTCAAGCCCAGTAATTTGATAATTGATCTATAGACATTGGATTGATTGTTAAGTAAATATTTGAAAAGATACTTACTTACTAGTAAAAAGATTTAAAATAAAAGTAACCGGTGACTTTACTCTAAAAAGAATCATCACCTCACCAATAATTACATCCCTACTCTTTATTCCTGAAAGGTAAAATTCAATCTCCATTCCTTATTCGACTTATTGAAAACTTTTCAATTCAACGAGTAAANGCATGGAAACCGCCGCACATTACAGAACCTGGAAGAGCTCCCCTTGCACTCAGAAGAAGCAAGGAAGAAGTTTCTCACTTGGGGGAACACGAAGATGCTCCAGCCTCCCATGGTGCTAGACCCTGCCTACCTGGATGAACTAGGGCACTGGCAGGACATTGATGAGTTTCTGTACAACCCAAAATGGAGGATCCTGCTGTTCCTGCAAGCACCAGCAAGCCTGGAAGTCACCATCGAGTTTCTTTGCTCTCTCCGCTTCCACAATGACGGAGAGGAAGTAAAGTCAACAGCTGAAGTCACCTCCACCACTAAGGTCACATTCACTCTGATGGGTCGACTGCTGAGCCTCACCGTGGCAGACTTAGGGTGGCTGATTGGTCTTTACACACTTGACGAGACGCGGAGCTTGGCCTTTGCTAATCTGCCCGACCAGTTGGATCCAGAGTTCGATGTGAGGAAGTTCTGGCAAGCTCACGAGTATGGACGATATCACAGTGGAGCAAGCATAGCTAGGAATTGGGTGCGTCCGTCTTGGAGAATTTTACACCATGCATTGACTCACAGCTATTTCGGCCGTTCTCGTGACTCCGATGTAGTGTTTGATTCTGATATGCTATTTTTCTGGAGTCTAGAAGCGCACGTACCAGTCAACCTAGCAACTTTTGTGGCACGATTCCTATTTGCTCAGTCGACCAGCAACCACCAGTTTGTCTTATGTGGGCCAATGGTTACGCTTCTGGCCCGAGGATTATGTATGACGGTCCCCAATGTCCTCCCAGAAGCCGCAAGCATGATCTGACCGTCGACCAGGTATTTGACCCAGATCGCTTATAATAAAGAGGACAAGGAGGCACGCCCCAGAAAGCAGCATAGAATTCCCATGACCCTTCGCGAGCTTTCACAGGCTATGTTTGCATTCCAGGATTCTGTAGACTCTCGCCTAAGGAGCATGGAGACGCTCCTTCTCACACAGCAATGGCAGGTGGAGGAAATACTTGAATACACTCGGGAGCAAGAAACAAAGAAGGCTGAGCATGGGGCAGGTTCCAAACAAGGCAAACGTCAGGGATAGTGAGATCCCTAATTTCTTAATACTGCATTCAGAACATCATTTTTGGATATTTATATGGTCTTATTTTGAAATTTCACATTATGACTCTTAAACCCATTTTGAGAAATTTTATGCATTATTTCATATTTACATGTTATGGTCATCTATTACTTCAATCTTCATCTTTGAATTTTATAAGTATTGTGATAACTTAGTAATTGCATGTGGACATTTCAACCATTAACTCTAATTCTGTAACACTTTTAACCACGAGGGCGTGGTTCCGTTTAAGTGTGAGGAGGTAAGAGTTCGTGGTTGAAATGATCTTTTTAGGAATTGTTTTGTCTATATATTTGTAGGAAAAGATTTTATAAAATAGTCATCAATTTTATTTGTTTGATTAATTACTCATTAGTTGTCACCCGTAAAAATTGGAAATTTTTAAAATTTTTGTCAAA